AGACACGTACATTCATATGGTCGAACTCGTCTACCGAGATTTATTACACAGAGATGCTTACAGCGCAGGTACCTTTGATTCTTCTGTACTGGAGCTAATTAGGCAAATTCTAAGGGATCTTGAACTGATGCAGTCGCAAAGCTCTCTAGTAATATCGCCAACAGGACTCGCCGCGTCTATGCCGGGGTCACTTGGTGGTCGACCACATTTTGATATACAGAAGGACCAGTTGTCATCGTTAATAGACTCTGGTTTTACTGTTGTTCAGATATCCGAAATAATCGGTGTTTCTCGGCGTACCATATTTCGACGTATGTCAGATTTTGAGCTGTCAATCAGAAGCACTTATTCAGATCTTACTGACACGGAATTAGACTACATCATAAAACAAATACAAGTGGAATTTCCAGCTTGTGGAAACAAACAAATGATGGGCCACCTTTTATCACGAGGAATCAGAATTCAACAGGCCAGAGTTCGTGAATCCATGTATAGAGTTGATCCTGAGGGATGTATTGATAGGCGGATTGGACTAATGAAACGTCGCAAGTATAAAGTTCCAGGACCTCGATACTTGTATCACATTGATGGAAACCACAAACTTGTAAGGTTAGTTAACAGACATTATGAAATATCTGTATCAGGTATGTTCATCATAGGTGGCGCTTTGTCATTCATGGCTGTATTGATGGTTACAGTAGAAAAATAATATACCTGAACTGTGCTAATAATAATCGATCAGATACAGTCTTGCAGTTATTTATTAATGGAGTCAGAGAAAATGGGTTACCACTTCGTGTAAGAGGAGATCGTGGTGGTGAAAACGTAGGAGTTGCACAGTTTATGTTGGAGCACCCACTGAGAATAGGAAAATCTAGTTTTATAGCTGGAAAAAGCGTTCATAACCAGCGTATAGAAAGGCTATGGCGTGATGTATTCCAGCAGTGCACTGTTCTGTACTATAGATTGTTTTATTATATGGAAGATATGGGCCTGCTGAATGTTGATGATGAGTTTCATTTGTATTGTCTCCATTACGTGTTTCTTAACAGGATTAATTCAAGTTTACAGAAGTTTTGCTCTGCATGGAATAATCACCCACTTTCTTCTGAAGGTTGTTTAAATCCATTGCAGTTGTGGACAGCAGGGTTGTTAAAAGATAATTCATCATTGCTTTTTGAGGTAAATAATACTCAGCAACATTTTGATTAATTTTGATAATAGGATGATAATCTTTATGGAATAGATTGGAATGGCCCTATACCTCTGGAAGATGATTACGATAGGTTATTTGTACCTCGTATTGAGTGTGATATTCCTTATGGTGTTCTGAGAGAGTTGCCCTCATTTGTACCACCATTAAGTCATAGTGAAAATTATGGCATTGACCTATATTGTTCTGCTTTAGATTACATTAACACTCATACATAGATACAATGTTTTTTTTACTACTTGTGTGTGCTGTTGTGATTTTTGTCATAATTATTTTGTGCATTAAATGTTACCTGTTAGCTATACTGAGTGAATCATGACAGAAACCCTGAGTTCTAACCTGGAAGATACTCAGCCATGCCCTGAGTGGGCGTTAGTTTTTTTGCATTTTTAGCAGAGTGCCTCCATCATTCTTTAATATTATTTTCAGCTGTCATTTATTGATGATATGCACCATCGCTAAGTGCTACCTAATTTGTACTAGTTACTACAGTGTTTCCACTTACTCAAACCTTTGTTTTAAAATTTTTATTTAGAGGGAAAATTACCGTTCATATTTTCAGTCAACTCAGTTGGACCAGTACATAAGTGGTAACCCAAATGTTTTATGAAAAATT